TATATATACACACATTTTTATTTTGTTTTTGTGGATTGTTTGGACAGAGTCAAACTACATCCCTTTACTTGAAAGTAAGAAAGTAAGATGCAGCGTAATATATGTTGTGTGCTGTGTATACTAATGTTCTAAAGTTTTTTTTGGTTTAGAGAAACTTACACTTTATTCAGAAAGGATGCATTTAATCAATCCAAAATAACAGTAAAGGCTTTCTTTAAGAATTGTTTTTAAGAATTGTATTTCAAATAAATGCTGTTCTTTTAAATCAAAAAAAAAAAAATGCATCAGAGGTTTCCACAAAAATATTAAGCATTTTCAACATTGATAATAAGAAGAAATATTTTTTTAGCAGCGAATCCGCATAAGAATGATTTCTGAAGGATTATGTGACATTTTGTAAAGATCATGTGAACATTACATTTTAAAATATATTAAAATTGAAAACAGTTTTTTTAATTGCAATATTTATGCTTTTTTTGTTGGTTTGTTTTATCAAATAAATGCAAATCAAATAAAAAAGATCTTTCAAAAACATAAAAAATCTTACAGACTTCAAATTTGTGAACCGTAATGTATGCTAAAGAGTAAGAGACCATTACAAAGTGGGATATAAACCTGTAGTCTGAGCTCTTGGACTTTGATGCCATGTGTGTCTAAAGCTTCTAATTCTCTCTTCAGATGAGACTCCAGTTGCTCTAAGAAACGAGGCTTGGTAAGAGATCTGCAGCACATCATATATGCAGACATTAGGACTAAAGTATGCAATGGACATGGAAAAGTGTAAACCAGGGTAAAGTTTTACAACTATTGCAATGCTAGAATGAACACTGAGATGCTATGTGTTGTACATGCCATACCCATGATGTTTTATTCCTCTGGGCTTTTGGACAATTTGATTGGTAACTTCAGCAGGCCAGGCTAAAAGGTTACCAGAGGTTTTCCCCGCGTTGGTCTGAAGGAAAATAAAGTTGATTTGGCATTATTTGGCATGTGATGGTGGTGTCAAACACTACAAAATAAATCTCTTTTCATAGAACTGATCAAACAAATGAGCAGAGTATTTAAGTATATGTTGCTAAATTAAAGTCACACTTTATTTACTTATACATGTACTTTTTAAAATTAAGTTTAACCAGCTAATAGTATAGATCTATCCGTAAATCAGGTAACGTTATCAGATATTTCAAATACTATCAAATATGAATTTCTATAATTAAATCAGCAGGTTTATAACTTACTTTTATAAACTTTGACCTAGATATCCCGTTAGTAACGTGTCGCTGTGATCCTCTGCTAACGGAAAGACTTGGGAACAAACAGTGAACTTGGGTCAAACAGTGACAGCAGACACTTCATCCAAATTATTATGTTTTTATTATTATTATTCAAATATGTTAACAGTTGTCACACTGCAGGCCTAGTAACTCAACATTAGAAAATAATAAAGAAATAGCAATTATTGACATACAGTTTAATTTACACTTGTACGTTTACTTTAAATATATCTTGATATAAAAACATTTTATTTGTCAGTTACACATTGACTAGCAGTGTTAAAACTAAGTTACTACTGACTTCCGCTGGCTTTTTGGGATTAGGCAGTCATTTCTAGTTAGAGTATAAGCAACATTAACGATTCTAAAATTGTCCTCATATCTTGCCTTTCAGAGTGTAACAACGGTGGCAGCTGTAGTTCTTTCAGCGACATTTGGACGAATAAACAGCTTGATGATAATCCACAGCAAATTTATCAGCGAACGTCCAACTGAAGCTCCAGCAGCGTGGCATTGTTGTTGTTTGAGAGGTGGTTGCTATGATACCGATGGACCCTAGAAAAGCCCTTCCGTTTATAGGCGCCCACCGCGTGCCTGTATGAACAATAACGTGACTTGTCGTCTAAAACATTATATGTGTCGCATTAAATTCGCGTGTATGTGTTAATGTATAAATAAGCTATTTGGTAAATATTTAAAATGTTTAATGCGCTGGTATGATATAACATTTGTGTTTTTTTTATCACGGCAGTAAAGGCTAGTGCGACTGGATTACACCACAGAGAGTGTCTTGTTTTTCTAAATCCGTCTGTTTTTTTAGACCGAAGAGTGCTTAACTTGTTGAACAAAATGTCTTGTTAGGGTTAAACGTGACCTTGCTTTTAACCGTAAACTTATATTACAAGTAAAACCGTCCTAAAATGAACATTTTTTTAAGGAAAAGGACAAAAACGTTAATTGAATGAACGCTTTATTTTAATAGTTTAACACGGAAAACAATCAGTACTATTTAGATTCAGTTATTAAAGTAAACTACTGCTTCACAGACCAACAGTTTAGGATAAGGATTACATGAAGTCTGTTACATAAAAAGCTGAAATACATGCCTTATAATATAGCAAACATGTAGTGAAATTGATTTCCATCATCACGCATTTATGAATAAATTACAGCCACTGATTCGAGATGTAACAAAAACAAGTTAAATATAGTATATTCATGCTCAAACTATAGAATTAGGAGTTGTGTTAAAAACTACAAATCCTAGACTGCGTTTTACAGCCCGCTCCTCTCCCAATGATTTCGGTATGGGTCATGTAGTTGGTGGCGCTTCCCTCATGTCAGCAGTGTGCACTGCGCAGGGCTTTGTGTTCAACTACAGTACCCACACGCCACTGTAGAGCCGCTGTTATCCGGGATATCTCACCGCTGCTGTTTCTCTCCTTAGTCTAGCGCTCTCTCCTTTTTAGCGGACTGGTACAACAGGGTAGGATTACTAGAAGGAATACAAAAACATAAGCAAAAATGGCAGAGCTTGGAGCGGGGAGCCTGCTAACAGGAGATCCTGCTTTTAATTATCAAGAGCATGAGCTAAACGAGCGTTTGAAGCGGCTGTACCCGGCCGTGAATGAGGAAGAGACCCCCTTACCCCGATCTTGGAGCCCCAAGGATAAATACAGCTACATCGGACTCTCACAGAATAATCTGCGGGTGCATTACAAAGGTATACAGATGTGACACACGCTGAACTGTCAACCCATAGGCCTTGACAATCCCGGCTGGTTCGCTGCGCTCGAATATGTGCAATCTCCCCGATCTAGTTTGAGCTGCTTTTTTCCCGTCCCTTTTGCTTTGTTGCATAGAAGGAAAGAGGAATGTCCAAATGGGTTGACATTTAGCAAAACATCATGTCAGAATTCGGCTGGCGAGAGTAGCTTGGGGCATAAGCTCGGCTGGGGAGTCTAGCTTTCGGACACCTACCTTTTACCTATTACCACAGCAAGAACATCAAGTGTTATTGATTTGCCAAGCTTATGGTTTGAACTCCCTTTCGGTGAATTAGTCGAGGCTGGTGCTAGCTAGCCACGGCAGGGCAATAAGGGCAGCTAAGCAGCTACACCATTGCAATGAATTGCAAATGCTTGTTAATTTACTCCGCATTGCATAAGTGTGTTTTGTTATCCGCTATCGGATGATTTATGTAAGGACGCGCGCCGCATCACAACGAAACAAATCGCTGAAAATATTTTTGGTGCGCATTTGAGGTATTTGACGCACGAACGTGCGTATTTGAGTTGACGAACGATATCGAATGATTCGAATCTGAGCGAATCACCGAATTCGCCATAATAATGAATTCGAATTCCACAACACTAGCTGTTTAAACAGTTGTGGCGTTTCGAATGACCCAGTCGCCTCAGGGGGGGGCTGAATTTACCCATTGCAGATGTACTTTTTTTGTTTAACAACTATTTACATGCTTCTACAGAATACATAATAAAGCGATTTTTTAAAAAGAACTATGACTAAGCACAATTTATAAGCTTTTAGTGCCTATGTTTAAAAAAATATTCGTTCAGGCGAACTGGTAGGCTGTCTGTTTTATCATTTTATTAGTACTTATTTTTTCATTATAACGGAGTAATTATTTCACTGGACATACATTAGACTAGTCATCATTCCAGTATTGACCTGTATCTGTTTAATTAGTCTAGTACTTGTATAGTATTTACAATAACTTATTGCCACTAGTCACTTCTGTCCCAGTAGTGCCAAATAACTTAGGCCTATATCGTTCCTGGTAACGTTACACATTTTTGCCATTGAATTCTATGGAAATCTGAGGTTCACATATCAACTATTCATTCGTACTAATATGTATTGTAATTGTTGCTGGTGTCTAGTAATAATCCAGTAATAATTCATTAAGTGCTATTACTTACTCTTTAGTTAGTTTGAACTATATAGTTGCTAGTATACATTCTAGTTTTCTGAGTGCAAACTGATTAGATGTTAATTTGCATTTACTAAACACAACAAGTGTACAATTAAGCCTACTTGTAAGATATTTAATTGAAGTAGCTTTCTTGACTAGCCGTTAAAACTAAATTAGTGATATTCCATGTCATAATAACAAAGAGCTCTTTTGTTGTAGCATCTACGTGAATAATTAGGCTTGTAAAAAGGCTTTATTGTGTTGTCTGAAATGTTACTGACATGTACCCTGGTTATTTTTAGTTTAGGCACAAATGCTGTTATAAAGAGCCTAATTCTAATTTGATGATGTGTGTCTGTAGGCCTGTTGTGCAATACTTTAGGATTGTTACCATTTGAGGGTCACTGGTGTGTAGACTATAGCCATTCATCTTCTTACATGTTGTGTGTTCCGTTTGACAGCTGTTTGTGTCAATGCTCAGGCCCAGTGGGAAGGTTATACTTATAGTTTAGTTCATCCCCTTTGACACATCAATGAACAACGCTGCATTATTTTGGTAATGTACACTGCTTTGTGTCTATGGAAAATTGTACCTCAATGGCAACTATCTCCTTTCAGGCTATGGGTTTGTTTACCACTTCATATGGTGGCGGATGTTAGCCAAGAATTTGATTTTTAAGAGTCAGATGATATTGATATACTCATATTGATTTCTTTCCTTGTTGTTAAGGATTTTTGTTTCTTTTTGTTCTGTCAGCCTGACTGTTTTGGTCAGTTTATCCTCAAAGCAGGATTGCAGTGATTAGATTAGGATCAAACAAAGGCTTGTTACTATAATCTAGAGTCATTATATACATCTTGTAGTAGTATATTTAAAGCAGCTCCAGTTAATAAATGATTTAACCTGCAGTCTATTAACCTTCAGTGCTATTTTGGCCAGTGTACCAGATTCTGTTTCTGTGGACTGAATTTTAGGTAACACCATGTTTCTGTCAAGTAAAGACACTAGATATATGCTGTCAAATAGTGTGATGAAAATCTGTGCAATGTTTATGCCATGTTATATTGTATTAACCCACATGGCTCTCCATCTTGATTTAGGAAGCATGTAAAAAATAGTCAAGCCTTTGCATGATGAAACAAGGGGAAAAGACACCAGAGGCTCATTTTCTAGCTTTGTTGTGGACCTCATTTTACTTATCGTCACACTGACAAGGACGTGAGCCCGTTAATGGAGAGAGGAAATGTGACTTTCGCAGCACTACACCCATGCAGATATTGTTTCTACACCACCTCCTGTGAGAAGATTAATGATAAAGATAAATAGATACAGATTAGCATAGCATGGATTGTTTCTTTGTGGTTTGGTGGGCTGCTGTCCATTTTCTTTGTAGGCTGTTGGACGGTGTTTCCTTTAAGCTCTTTGTAATGTTTACCTATAGAGGGCTTTTGCCTGTCTGAGGAGCTAATCATGCATGTTCAGTCGGTGCGGTGACATCACCAGATTGTGTTCGTTTCCCCGTAGTGTCTCTGTGAAGCTGTGAAACCCTGTTTGCTAACACTAGCACAACACTCCCAATCTTCTCTCCCTGTGTCTTTGTTCTCATATTGTAGATTTTTTTTTTGTCTGCTTAGCTGATGTTATTATGGGTGCCAGCTGTATAGCCTTGTACAGCTCTCACCGTTTCACTTAGATGTTTTGACAGAGAAACCCTTAACTATGAAAAGGAGTTTTACCAGATATCAGTGCAATTTTGTGGTGCTGATTGATTTTGCTTGTGTTTATATAAGTGTATGAATTTGTCATTACAACATTAATTTTTTCTTTATTTTTATTTTTATATTCATTAGAAATGAATATAATAGAAATTAATAACAGTTTCAGTCATATTTCACCCCAGATCAAAAAGAAAATGAAAAAAATAGTATTTAGTATAAATAAAATAAAGATAGTTTGTTTGCATTGTGATATTATAATAAAAAATTTTTTTTTTAAATTCATCTCATCATGATGATATTTAACAATTGTAAGTAAAGGAAATTAGAATCAGCTTGACGTATTTTGACATTATTTTCATGACAATTAAAGTCGCGATAAAAAGGATGTAGCAATAGATCTTTTTCCATATTTTAAAGTACATCAGAGTGAAATGGATTTTCGAAAGCGAAAAAGAAGAAATGTATTGTTGGGACTTGGTTGTATCCATTGGTTGTTGTGGAGCCAGATCAGTTTAATGAGCGTGTAGTCGATTGTAAGAAAGAGGCGGGGATTAAGCGGACTAAATGATTGGAGAAGTTCAGCATTCGTCACAGGAGAGAAGTCTGTTTCTTTCACTGGAAGGTTGAGTTGTAATTAGGGTTGTGCAGGTTAGTGTAACAATTGATCCGCAGTGGTTTTAGAGCACCACCACAGTGGGCCGGCAAAACAGTTTTTTGTGCATATTAATGTGTACACTTTTTTTTAAGTAAATAGGAAGTACAAAACTTTGTTTACAAAATAAATAATCTGCTGCCAAATTTTACCTCATGACCATTGAAACATACAAAATTCTGCTCTGTTTTGCTGGCTGGTCACTCAGATTGTTACAGAAAGCAATACACAAATTAGACATTACTGGTCACCAGTGTTGGGGGTAACGCATTACAAGTAACGCGAGTTACGTAATGAGATTACTTTTTTCAAGTAACTAGTAAAGTAACGCATTACTTTTTAATTTACAAGAGAATATCTGAGTTTTTTTTTTCAGGGTTGGAGCTGAACTCTGCAGGACTGTGGCTCTAGGACCGAACTTGCCTACCCCTGCTCTAGACATTTGTGTGTCTTTTTTTATTGCTGAAGTGTGTTGAAATTTCTTCTTCTGCATTCTACTGTATGGATGTAAATTTACTTTCCCTTCAGCCTGAGGCTTATTCATTTCACTTTTGGTGTGAAAAGGCTTTTATATTTGCCAAAAATAGAACTTTTTTATTTTAAAAACAAACAAGCAAGCCCTGTCCAGATTTAAAAAGTAACGCAAAAGTAACGTAATGCATTACTTTCCATAAAAAGTAACTAAGTAACGTGATTAGTTACTTTTTTATGGAGTAACGCAATATTGTAATGCATTGCTTTTAAAAGTAACTTTCCCCAACACTGCTGGTCACATTAGGGGTGTCACGATAAATCGATCTCTGGAATCGATTCTGAGCTTAGTTTTTAACAGCAGATGGCACTCTAGGCTAGTTTTTAACCGCACATTCAAATGTTCACAAAGAACAGCGCTTGTGCGTTCAACTGAGTAATTAAATGCACTTGCACCTCGGCTTTTATGCTTTTATGACGCGAGATTCATGTAAACAAAGGCCACTGTAAACATTCTTGTAATTCGCTTCAACCTTTTCGACTTTATGAAGGATTTTTTGAAGTTCAAATGGTGTGTGCGTAAGGAACTGGATGCAAGCAGAGTATGGCTGTTTCTAAAGCACACAGTGCCATCAGCTGTTAAAAACTAAGAATCAGAATGGATTCAAGAGAGAATCGCGATGTTTTTTGGAAAATCACAGAATCGATCCACAAATCAATTTATCGTGTCAGCCCTATTTTAAACAAAATATTTTATCTTATGGGTTTTAGTCTTTGGGCTAGATTTACTAACAGCGCAAACTGTCTTTTGGCGTTCAAATAGTACTGTCAGGATTAACTAAAGACATGCAGTGAAGAATTAGCCCTGAAAAGGCATGGACACGGTTACTTTTGTGACTCACCTTATTGAATATGCATTTGTAGGAGTTTCCCTTTCGATCGGTAAATTTATGGGAGGAGAGAATATAAATGAATCACGCAATGCAATTTACTAACGCTTGCGCTCATCAAATTACTGGTATTTGTGCCATTATTTTATGCCCCAAAAAAAGCATGTCTTAAAGCATGTGCTAATTTGTGCTGCTCTTGGTGGATTGCACTGGTCATTATGGAAATGAGATGTTGCGTCTGTGTTCTTTAATGTGCACCTTGTCAGTAAATCACCTGCAAAATTTTCCCCTCCCATCGGCTCTTAATGGAATTGCGCTCTAATTTGTGCTAATTTGCCCTGATGTCTCTCGACTAGTAGTCGACCAATATGTGTTTTTCAGGGCCGATACGGATTATTACAGATTAAGTAGACCGAGAACCAATATATATGTCTGGTGTAAAAAAGAAAATTAATTTCAAAATTAAAAATAACAAAGGCCATGACAAAAACTTTATTTAAATGCTTTTAAATTGAAAATGACCGATACCGATAACCATAAAAATGCTTAATATCGGTGCCGATAATCGGTCGACCCCTACGCTCGACATATACAATATTGTCACAGTTTGTGCTTGTTAGACAAGGTAATGTCAAGTTAATATGTACGGAGCCCTGGACATGACATGTGGGGGAAAAATGAAAGATTGTGGCCACAAATAAAAAATTCGTTCCCATGTAAAATGTGTCCATTGCTTTGGAATATTGTTAGGAAACATGAAGATCTCAGACAAGAGGTGGGCTCGGTCCTATTCACACAACCCTCTCAAAGCGCAGAGCAGGATATATGATGTTACCTAAAATTCAGTCTACAGAAACAGAACCTTGTACACTGGCTAAAAAAGCACAGAAGGTTAATAGACTGCAGGTTAAATCAAACATATATTTTTGGGGAAACACAATTAAACTTAACTTAGATACTACATTTTCTATTGCTTTCCATGTAGAGGGATAAGGGCTGTATTGTTTCCATTTTAATGCCCTTTTAAAGTTTGAAATTATAGTAAATCTAATTCAAATCACAGTTTATACATTGTGAATACATAGGATGCTGGAGGGGCGTGAAACATGACCTAGATATTTTTTGACAGTCAGTCACTGACAGCTATCAAAATCATTCTATATTATGTTTGTTTCTTGTTTTGAATTCAAAATTTAAATAAGCATATGTGATTTTTCTTAACCAATTTAAAAACATTTACCTGAAAAAAGAACACTGTTTAAAGCACTTGTGTGACCTCACATGTCGTTGGGTTATTAAGTATAATGAGTGTAAGATTGTGCATGTAAACACTCACAGATTTTTATGAGATTCACTATTGTCAAGACTGAAAATTATATAGTTGGTTATGTGTCCTAAAGGGATTATTGGCTCTCCCTTTACAAAATGAGAAAAATGAGGCATGTAAATAAAATATAATAAAATGATATGTCCTACACTGGATTAGAGCAGCGCTGTAAGATGCAGCAGACCTATGATTATGCACTGCAGAGGAGGACTTTGTATGAAAGCCATTTGTGTTTAAACATGTTTGGCAGAGAAATAGAGGGAGGGACAGACAGACAAGCAACTAAAGAAGGAGAGAATCACCCAGGGTCCTCTTGCTGTTCTGTGCTCCTAGAATGGTGTGGTCATGGCATGATGTATAAATAGATTGAGTGTGTGAGCAGGGGGCGGAGAGGAGCGTGCACACGTATGTGCGTTTATAGTGTGTGTGTGTGTGTGTGTGTGTGTCAGAGAGTTGGGGATTTGCACATACAGGGTCGTCTGTCTTTACTCTGGTTGTATGAGCCGTGGATATAAATATATTTTGTGTGTGTTCTTGATTATGAATGCTTGTCTGGGTTTGGCAGACAAACCTATTGTGACTTCCTAGCAGAACTTGGAAAGCTAAAAATAAGTGATTATTATTATTACAGTAATCAGAGATGATGATAATGAAGAATACATATGCTTGGTACACCTTTTTTTTTTCAAAACACATACACTGTGACCAGGTCCTGCAGTTAAACTTCAGGTGAGGGTTATGTTACAATTCTGGGGCACACAAACACAAAGATACACCGAAATATCCATATACGTGCACACGGATGAGTTAAACATGAGACTCGGGAAGTGCAGTGAAGTTGAATAAATGATTGGCTCAGGAGAAAGGCCTGGCCTCGCAGAATCTAATACTGTGTGTCCATTTATGCTGCCAGGTGTTACAACCTGCAGGAAACTGGATTAGGAGATTGGAGCACATTGCTATGGTACATGGAGGCTTAGATGACAATGACACTCACCAACTTCCTTTCTCACACTTGTATTGAGAAGAATTGAAGCTATATCATGTATTAGAGGTTAACCTTAAAGACAACGTTAAATGGAGTTCAATTTCAGTTTGACTTGTTGAGTGAAGCGGTATGAGAATTTATTCAACCATAAGGTAGGCTATAATCATGAAAGTGGGTTTGCCAGATGGACCTTTGCATTTGAAGGGGCGGAGCTAAACAAAGGGCTTGATGATATCAGCAGAGGACGAAAGTCGTTTTAAAAGATGTTAAAAGGGAGCCCTTGCACAGAAAATCCACAAATCCAGTCATAGAAGTAGCGGAACTCATGACCCTCCAGGAAATCCCTAATATGGACAAAGGCATCGCTATTATAGCTTTAACTGAGTAAACAGAACATATAAACGTTTTTGAATGATAAAACAAAGACAATAAACACTCGACTGTGACAATATAGTTTATAGAGGTCGACCGATGTATCGGTTTTGCCGATTAATCGGCACCGATAGTTGATTGCTGGAACTATCGGTTAT